AATTCTTGTTGTTGGTTCCTATGTGCAAGACCTTGCACTAGTAGATTTCATACCATTTCTATAACTCCAGTCTTTAAGATTGTCCAGATCTTGTAGGATATTCCCATCCTTCTTCATGCTGGCAATACCTCCCAATTTTGTGTCATCCACAAATTTTATTAGCACACTACCACTTTACATGCCAAGATCATTAATGAAAATGTTAAAGATTGGTCTGAAGACTGATCCTTGAGGAACTCCATCAGTAACCTCTTTCTAGTCTGACAATTCAGCATGAGCCACTATACTCTCCCCTTTAATCAGTCCCTTACCCACCTTTTGATTCTTGTATAAACCTTCCTCTTCTCCAATTTAACTATAATTTCCGATGTGGAACTGTATCAAATGTGTTACTGAAATCCAGGTAGATTAGAGGTACTGCAATGTCTTTGTCTAGAAAATCACTTATCTTCTCAAAGAAAGAGATCAGGTTGGTCTCGCACGATCTACCCTTTGTAAAACCATATGGTATTTTATACCAATTTATCTCTCTGTCCTTAACTACTCTCTCTTTCAAAATTTGTTCCAAGACCTTGCATACAATTGAGGTTGAATGAATGGGCCTGTAGTTTCCCAGATCACTTTTTTGTTCCTTTCTTAAATATAGTTTCTCTTTTTCTAATTCTCCAATTACAGGGCAAAACCCCCAAATTTGTGGATTCATTAAAAATTCTTGCTATGGGGCTTGCAATTTCATGTGCCAGTTCCTTTAATATTCTTGGATGGAGATTATCCAGGCTCCCCGATTTGGTCGCATTAAACCATTTGAATTTTGTTTCCACCTTGGATGTGGTCATTTTTACTTACTTATCGTCGTTTAGCCTCCATTAGTTGCCCTGCCACTGTCCCTGAGCTCCTCATTACCCTTATTAAAACCTGAGGCAAAGTATTCATTTAGGTTTTGGACTGTACCTAGATTATCTTTAATCTTCACCCCAACCTCAGTGCTTTGTGGTCCCACTTCTTTTTTCCTACTGTGCAACCTGGACTGTTGAACTGCTGAGTTCCCTAACTCTCTAGCCTGGGCTGCCTTTTACACTGCTTTCCTGTCAGAACAGCCATTGCTAGCCTGCCCATGCACAGCCACTAGCAAGTAAAATCACTCCCAGATTTTTACATGAATGGTCTCCCAGCCATCCATGAAGAGATGCAGAGTGACACCCATGTATCTCCAGCCCCAGCCTTGCACCCCAAAAATGTGTGTATTGCACTGTCCAGCACACTGCTGAACAGTGCAAGCTCATAGATAGTCTGTCATTCCAACATTGGGAATGATTGTATGGACCAGCTTTGCTGTCTCAAGAGAAGTTCCCCTTGCACTTCAATCCATATACACACTGAATCCAGATAAAACAATAAAACAAGTTTATTAACTAGAGAAAGATGGATTTAAAGTGATTTACAAGTGATAAGGCATAAAAGTCAGAGTTGGTTATAAAAGAAATAAACAGATAAACAGACAAGCTAATTTCTAGACTTTACCAAGGCGAATAGGTTTAAAAGCAAAAAGCTTTCTCTCACCCAAAAACTTTCAGCAGTCTGTACTGACTGGAAAACCTCCGGGCCAGGACCATTCCCCCCATTTCAATTATGCTTCCTTTAGTCTTTCAATCGATCTTGCTGCCATGAGTAGAGATGGGTGGAGGAGAGGTAATCGGTGTGTAGTGAGTTCTCCATTCTCATACCTTTTTACCATCTTTGAGGATTATCCCCCACTGGGGTGTAGACAAAACAGTTCTCTGTGTACATGAGATTCTAAAAGTCTTTCAGGTGACGTTTGTTTACAGTCTCACCTGCTGATGAATGGTTGCTTCAGCAGTTAATATTTTTTAGCACCTGTGGTCAGTCCTTTGTTGTCCCTGAGGAGCTAGTCTATGGGCGTTCCCCGGAATTACAATGTATTTCAGTAACAAACATATAGTAAACTCTCATAGCTCCACAGACAATGTTGATGCACACATTTCAAATGATACCTCACAAGGTATACTTTGCACAAAATATATCATAACCATATAAAGGACACTTAGGTCCATGGTGTCACATGGTATACAGGATGTCACACCTACCACTGGATCCTTGCCAGTAGACTTAAGAGACCTAACCAATCTTAGAGTAAAGTCTTGAATTTGTCTTCCTTGGACTGTTGGAGAACTCTTTGTGGGCAAGCTAAATTCTCATACAGATTGGGTCAAGCTGCCATCCACAGTTGTGTCCCATACATTTCTCGGTTCCCTTGGACCTGCTGGATTTTTAAAGGTATCTTCCACAGTTTACACATCGAGGACGTGGTATTGATTGGAAACTTCTAGTGGTGTGGAAACATGAAAACTATACTTTTGCCAAATACAACATTGCAAATTCAGCTGCAGTTTGGACTTTCTTATCTGTTTAAGCAGAGACGGAGTATAGTGCAGGATAAAACTAGCTTTTAAAAATCTTTGATATAGTAAATAAGGCCATATATTTCTGATTTTTCTTAGTAATGTTATAATGGATTGGCTGTTTAACCAGAATAATAAACATATTTGTGGATTTATGTTTAATGTTGTGGTCTTCTAACTGATGTCAGTCAGTGGGATTTTATAATTTCAAGATAATTGAAAAACAAGGGACCCGTAGTTATTATCCCTGCTGTCCATTGACTTCTTGGGCTTTGTATGGTGAATTGACTGCAGCATTTTTCCTGTGGTTTCAGTAGTTTTTACAAGTCCAGATCTTGCATTTTTAGTGAGTGAAGCAATTTTCTGATAATCTGAAATCCATGAGACTTTGATATTGTCAATTCTCTTGTGAAAGGCCACCATGTTCTGGGCTCTGGGCACCTTAGCAACTGTGCTATTAACTACTATGCCTACTACCTTTCTGAAGTACAAAGCTGAAAAGTCCTTTGAAACACATGATTTGTGTGATAATATTGCTTATACCCTCTTATTACCAATACCCAGATAAAAATATATTAGAATATTCTTCCCCACACTAAATAAAGCAAACATAATCAGGAGAGGAGCCCCAGCTATACAAGAGAAGTAAAAATAACTAAGATTTTGCTGGAGGGGAGCTCACAGACAATGCAAACTTACACCAACTTGTACTGATCATCCTTTATTTCTTTCCTCATACAATAGGCCAAATTCATCCAGGAGGTAACTCACTGAAATTAATTGAGTGAAAATAAATAGAGTTGTATACCAGGGATAAATTGGCTCCTTTTTTGTTTCACTTGCTTGCATACAGGACATTATTTAAAAAAACAAACAAACAAACACACTCCTCCCCCCAGTGTACTAATAAAAGTAATACATATACAAAGCAATAAAATTTTTTGAAGTTCATTGTTAGAGAATTTAGGATTGTTTCACATATTAAAATAAAAGTATTTGCGGTATTTAAAAAAAAAGCTGTCTCTTTTCTAAATACCTTTTTGACTGAATTGAAAAAAATCCAAAAAGCATTGATTGGAATGTTTCAAATTGCACTATCAACTTCCAGGATTTGGAGCACTGTTGAAGGTTTCAAGTAATCCTCTGCATGATGGGGGGGTGAGGGGGGGGGGAAGAGAGGGAGGAGAGAATGTATTTGAAACAAGAGAGTGACTTGCAACAGAATGCTCAGCTATCTCTCACTCCAGGGTGCTGTTATTAGAGGATTTTAATGTTACCAGATTAACAGCCACAGATGATCTCTTGAGCCTAAGATCCCTGATAAAAATTGGAATGCTGTCTATGTATGGAGATAAGAGTGTACATTCTATTCTTTGCTGTTCCAGAAGGGGCTCAGGCACATAATTGAAATTTTTAACAGGTAGCATCTGCTGAGTATTCTCTCTCTCTGTCTAAATTACAAGACTTAAGGAAAACTTTGTGCTGCACTACATGCTGCTAGGAAGATCTAAGACCTCCTGTGCAGAAGTGGCTGACAATGTACTGTTTTCATTCGAATGCAAATTTCTCTCTGGATGGGATTCAGGGAAAGTACCCACCCCCTCTACAGCTCCACCCCTGCCCTCCTTTTCTTTTGTGCCTTGTAAATAAATAAGAAGCAACTGCCTTTCTCTCTGAAGACACAGCTGCAGGGGGCTCTTAAAGGGAGAGAGAGAGAAAAGACACACACACACACACACACACAGAGGCACTGAGAGAGAGAAGAGAAGGAAAGAGATGTGGAGCTGGGTTTTCACACGCTAGGAAGGGTGACATTTTTGTTCTGCTTTTTTCATATCTTCGGTTTCAATTGCAGCATTTCTCTGTACTGGAAAGCATAATTCCTTTACAACTGCAAGAGTCTGATTTGAAAGTCTACATCTCTTTTTAAAATGTATTTATTTATTTCAAATGGCAGAACTCAGTCTGTGTGGTGGCAGCAGCAGCAGCAAATTCTGAGGAGTGTATTATTCTGGCTAGTCTCCTCTTATAATAAGGATGTTAATTGCTTTTCAGTGAAGAAACTTTGTCAACTAAAATGGTTCTTGAACGCCAGTGCTTTTTTTAGTGAGCTAACATGGGGAGTATAAACAAAATAAAAGTTTGAAATGGTGCTGTTTAAAAAAAATCTCCAGACTAAATGTTTTGGTGGATGAACTGTAAATATTTCATTGTGTTTCAGGACAAGCAACTGTTTAATAACAATATCCAACAATTGTATACAAATAAAATATGCATTAAACCAGATATCAACTTGAATGGTAAAGGGGACTTTTTACTGTTTTGGACTTGAAGTGTGAAATATTTTCTCTTAAAGGACAAACATGTTTTAGCAGATTAGTCTCTTAATCCTAAAGGCATTTGTTTCAAACCTTATTAAGATCATAAAAGGGTTTTTGTTTGGTTTGGTTTGGTTTTTTTCTGTAGCACTGGATTCTCTGTAGCAGAGGGGTTAAATTTTGCAAGGCTGGTTTTAAAATGTGTTGAACTCCTTTCCTGTCTCTCTCTCTTTCTGACGGTTGTTTTCTTTCCTCGGTACAGGGCACAACTAGTCGAACAGCTCATTTAGCTGGATCCGAACCTTCTCAGTCAAGAGAGTCCTTTGTGCCAAGCCATGGGAGCGCGTTCCATTTGCCTGATTCCCAGCATTCTTCAACACTTTATTACTCCAGCTCCACTCTGCCAGCCCAGAGAGTGAGCTCCCCGCTGTCCATGCAGCAGGTGGGCTCTCCAACCAAGCTCCAGCGGGTGGGTTCAGCATCGGAGAGCGCTGGATACAGCACCACGCAGCGGGTCTCTTCTCCCAAGCAGTCTCCAAGCCGGCTAGCCAAGTCTTACAGCACCAGCTCACCAATCAATATTGTTGTGTCTTCAGCAGGACTTTCTCCTTCCCCAATTCGTGTGACGTCTCCACCCACCATCCAGTCTAATATTTCCTCCTCTCCTATACATCAGCTAAGCTCCACCATTGGCACTTATGCTACTCTGTCTCCTACCAAACGGCTGGTCCACACATCAGATCAGTACAGCAAGCATTCCCAGGAACTATATGCCACTGCTACCCTACAGAGACCTGGCACCCTAGCAGGTAAATGAAGCCAATCTCTCATCGTTAACTCTTTAAGTGCTTTGTTCATTGTCTGCATGGGCAGTCTGGTTTAGTGTTAAAATGTTTCTATATTTGGCTTACATTTACACGAATAAGGGAGGAAAAAGATTAATTCAGGAACTCTGATCTCTAAATATATCTTGTTTTAAAAAATTGTGTTTTAAATGTATCTGTTACAAGCAATGTATTCATATAAGCAGCTGCTGCATATAAGACAAATAATAAATACAAGACATTAAGGGGTTAGGAAGATTAAAGAATTTAGAGGGTCTTTTTGAAAACTACCTTATGAGTGAGAATTGTGGTTTCAGTTCAGTCACTAATAAGCTGTAAACCTTATAAAAAAAACCACTCCTCTTTACTCATATTGATTCATCTGATCTTTTAAATATTAGCTAAATCTTTTGTTGAGAAAGTTAAGGGACTTGCAGCATTAAACACTGAAATCCTGTTTTTTAACCACAATCAAAGTACTGAACATTCCACCACAATAAATTATTCTCTACCCCCACCCCCTCCTTTTTTTAACAAAATCCTCACATAGGGGAATGCCATTTCCTTGAACTGATGTGATTAGGTGTAATTGACAATTTCTGCACTACTTCTTAGCAGAAATTTCAAATATGCTAGATTATACTGAATTATATGTGATGGCTGTGTGATATTTACTATGCATTATGGAACAAGCAGGAATCACCAGTTTCATTTCTTCAGGAAGCACAAACTTTAAGCCAGATCCTGAAATTGTGAGGCTGTTTTGTCTTCTAAATCACCTAACTAGAGATCTGAATCGCTTTCAATGGTGAATTTTTGTTCTGTCTTAAAATCATTTGAGTTTCATTGCTATAGTAACAGCCACTGTGCTCATATGTTCTCTTGTCTGACATAAATAGATAACTTTGAAGATAAACAGGATACATACAAGGATTTGCAGTATATATCAGTCAGTTACCCAAGTGCCCTTTTGCAATTAATTCCCCTTATCCTCCGCCACCACCAAAAACTGTTAGCATCATAATATGCAACTCTAGGGTTATGCAGTCCAAAAAAATAGGTTAAATTAAGTGACAGTTAAGGCGATGGTCCTAGCTTCTTCTTCTGTTTTCCTAAAAGTTATTTGGAAAATCTCCTGTAAAAGCATTGAATCGAAGGAGTCCAGCTAGCAGAAAAAACAGAGTTTATAGCATTTAATTTCTAGGTTTAATATGCCTAAAAGTTTTCATCAGTAGGGTTAACTGAATGAGGTCCAAATAGAGAACTTTGGACAACTTGAACACTATTGCTGTCAAATACTCTTTATTCCTTTCACAGATGATGTGGTATTATGCTTAGATACAGGATGGATCAGGTAATATCTTTTATTGGACCAACTTCTGTTGGTGAGAGAAACAAGATTTTGAGTTTACATAGAGCTCTTTTTCAGGTGGTATTATGCTTAGCAGTTATAAGAATTTATACACCCACACCTCTGGAGTGGCTTCCTCTCTCCACAAATCTCAAGAAAACACACTTCTGCCCAAGGCATACAATATCCCATTATAAAATATTGTTATAAATATGTTAAAACTTTCCAATATTTTGTATTTTAGACTGTTTCATTTTTATGGAGTAAGAAAATTGTTCTATAAAATTTAAATAAGCATGGAAGAAACTGCCAATGTCAGCAGGTCAAAGGGTAAATTTTGTTTAAAATTGTTTGTCTCTTGTAAGTCTGATCATCAATATTCTTCTGGCTTTCCTACTATTTACAACCAATCTGTAAAGTGGTGATCTTTACCCATAGGTAGGGTCCTACCAAATTCACAGTCCATTTTGGTCAATTTCATGTTCTTAGGATTTTAAATATAATAAATTTCATGATTTCAACTATTTAAATCTGCAATGTCAGGGTGTTGTAGTTGTAAGGGTCCTGACCCAATAAGGAATTGTGGAGGGTCACAAGGTTATTGTAGGGGGGTTGTGGTACTGCTACCCTTACTTCTGCGCTGCTGCTTGTGATGGCGCTGCCTTCAGAGCTGGGCAGCTAGAGAGTGGCGGCTGCTGGCCAGGATCCCAGCTCTGAAGGCCTTGCCGTGCCAGCAGCAGTATAGAAGTAAGGGTGGCATGGTATGGCATTGCCACCCTTACTTCTGTGCTGCTGCTGGCAGGGGGCTGCCTTCAAAGCTGGGCACCTGGCCAACAGCCACTGCTCTCTGGCTGCCCAGCGCTGAAGGCAGCACAGAAGTAAGAGTGGCAGTACTCCCTAAAATAACCTTGTGACCCCCCTCTGCAATGCTTTTTGGATCAGAACCCCCTATTTGAGAAACGCTAGTATCACATGTAAAAGCACACAAAAGACCAGATTTTGTGGTGGGAGACCAGATTTCACAGTCCGTGATGCGTTTTTGATGGCTGTGAATTTAGTAGGGCCCTACCCATAGAAGTTCTAAAGAAGTCTCTATTATCTCCTCTTACTCACCCTAAGAGCTGGTGAGCTTTGTATTGCGCTAACCGTCCTTGAGGTATGAAGGAATCTTCGATAGCCTATCAACACCGCTCCTTTGTTGGCCAGATGGTTTGGTGCCGAGGGGTAATAAGCAACTCCCACCCTCAGGGTCTGCGCACCAGCACAATGACCTCATCCCGCAGAACAGAGATAATGCCTAAGGCCCTGACTCCCTAAGATACAGCATTACGCTGCCTTCTGGATTGATAAACCAATAGTGGCTATACATATATTTGTAAGAGTTTCTTGTACACCTGACTCTCAAAAAGTTGGAACCAAAAGACACTGATATCTATATTTGTCTTAACATTTTTAAAAATACATTTTTATTGTGCTAGCCAGATCTAAATATAGGTATTAAAAACAAGCGAATTTTGGATCTACAATACTGCAAAGGGAAAAGGACATTTTTAAAACAAGTCATTTATTAAGCCTTAAAGGTGGCCTGCAAATGAGAAAATGGGCTGGCCTCCACCCTGCCCCAGTTTTCTTCTTTATGATGTATAAAGAAGGCCTGAATATTTGTGTGTGTGTGTGTGTGTGTGTGTGTGTGTGTGTGTGTGTGTGTGTGTGTGTGTGTGTAG